GACCCAGCCTGGCTCTCAGAGCCCAGGCTGAGTTTGCAGGACTGGCAGCTAGAAAAAGCATTGTGCAGTTTGTGTGCCGAGTCCAAGTGCTTTCATGAGGCACAATGAACACAGAACTCCACTGTGCCCCGCAGAGCCACCTCTCAAAGCACAGGACTCAGTGACAAGCCTGCAGACTCTATTTAGAGCAAAGAGACTTGGAATTCTTCAGTCTGCATCTTTTGTTAGCGAGATGGGGCTAAATGTACCATGTAAATTACTCCTCCACCCTCTGAACCGCAGGTGGGAATTCCCAGAGGAGGGCAGCTGCCAGTGCTAATCAGGGTTTCACAGGACACCCACCAAGACAGAGTGCTCAATGGACATATGAAATCACAGTCCCTGGCTCCATTGGCTACCTTCTCTTCCCAGCCCCAGCCACTTTGGAAGCTGCACTGGCCCCACATGGGTATCCCTATGGCCACAGGCCCTAACGGCCTCCCTTCCTCATGCAGCTCCAGCTGCTCAGGCTCTTCCCCTGCGTCTACACAGATAAAACTTGGCTTAGGTTCAGGAGTGAATCTGGATCAAAAAGGACAAAGAGTCTTTGTAACTAATAAAGCATCTAAGTCTGGTTCCTCATTGGCGGAGACAAAAACCAGCTCCTTGGTCCTTTGGTGAATGCGCCACAATGCCACAAAACAGCGTGGACCACAGGAACTGCCAGATTGGACCAGAATCAAGGTCCATCTAAGGCAATATCCTGTCTCTGACAGCGGCCAACACCATGGACTTCAGAGGGAGGTGTAAAAACCTTACAACAGGCAAGTAGGGTACTCTGCCGCCACATTAGGTCTCAACCTGCTCTCTAATAGAGACTGGCTTACACCCTGAAAATAATTTAGCATGAACTATTATAATATCGGTTTACAGTTCCCAAGACTTCTCTTGCTCTGTATATTGTCAGGGACTGGGACCACTATGGAGGCTGTGAGGTAGGAGAGAGGTTTTGCATCACTCAACTGGGCCCTTTGTGGCTAACTGGGGGAACTGTATACATTCCTCCAGCCTTCCTCTGCCAAGCAAGGTCTCTGCAGCACAGAGCTTTCAGGAAAGGAAACCCTTTGCTAAAGAAAAATACGAAGAGGAAGACATGGCATCTCCAATGCCTTCAGATGGAATTTTGGCCTGGGTTAGTCTCAACTGATTTTATATTGTGCCCTCAGAGAGCTGTTTATCTAATTTCCTCCTGCTGCTTCCTTGCTTGAAGAATCCAGTTATTGGTGGTGCTTATTCTGTCTCTTGCACGGGGTCTGATTTTGCAGGGGGCGGATAATACATGATAGTGTTATTTGTAATGAGAGTGCTGTTGTGCTGAGCTCTGCGGCTGTTTGCACATGGATGAGTGTCTGTGTGTATCCCCGACTCCGTAAATCCTAGACTGTGTAGGAATACACGCTTGTATTTCATGTCTGGAGTTTTCTTCCTGTTCCTTGGCACTTTGTCCTTGAAGGATAGAGAGCACACTCTGGTGTCCTCCATGGGTTTGCTGAACGATTGCATTCAGAGCTCTTCACAAAGGCAGAAACGGGAACCAGATTAGAAACGACCTGTCAGGAACTTGCTGGGCACCCACATAGAGAGAAAGTTAGAGGAACTAGCACAGCAGGACTGCTTGAATAAAAACACATGGTGAAAGCCTCTGCCAGGTGACTGGCTGCAGGGAGTCCCAGCTGGTACAAAAGGGAGTGAAACAGACCCATCGGCTGGATTTAAGGAAGTTCTGCATGAGTTTGTAGCTTTCCCTTTATTTTCTCTGGTCTTTTTTTAATCTCTTTTTCTCCCTGATATGCCCTATGGATCTTTCATTTCTCCTTCCCACTTCATTTATCACAGCAGGGCCTGAGTCTGCTGGTGCCCCGCACAGGGTAAACACAGAATATGTCATGTCTAAATGCTGTATCAGTGAAAACTCTTTGAAAGAAGGGGGAGGGAAATACTAGAGAAATGGATCCTCTCTCTCTAGGGTTCTGGGCTAATCTTCACCCTGGCATCCGTATTAGTGAGATAAAGCTGTGGGAACTGGAGACGGGTTGGCTCCTTATTGAAAGTGAACGGGTATTTGGAAGCACGAAATTCCCCCTCCAGTGACTCCGTGGAAATGGGATTTAGCCACCTTCCGGGGTGTCAGTGGCTGAGTTAATGGAGCTACATGCTTTCATTGCACTACACCCCGTCCTTTTTCCAGATCAGCATAGGCAAAAGATGGCCCAGTAGCAAGAGTAGCAGCCACCAGGCCTGCCGACAGGGGAGCAAAGTGGCAGTTGCTCTGGGACCTGGTGATTTAAAATGGCCTGGGGCTTCTGGTCACCTTGGTTACCACAGCAGCAGGAGCCAGAGCCTTATCCCTGGGCAGCACACTCAGGGTGGCTCTGAAGGTTGGCAGCCCCCAGCCTTGCCCCTTCCGCCTGAGGTCCTCCCACCTTGCCCCGAAAATCTGTGCCCTGCCCCCGCGGTAGCCACATTTCTATGCCAATGAAGGGCAGGCTAGGTAAGGATTAACATACACCCCCTGATTCTGCCACTCGTGGTCACTGGCTAACCTTTCCCTTTGTTCTTGTAAAGAGGGCAGCACCCCCTGGAGTGGTCGTGGCCGGGAGGCATGGTGAACCCTGCCCAGGGCGAAAAGGAGAACGAGACGGTGTTGGTGACGCTCAGCGTTGGCCGGACCATCAGGGAGGAGGAATGTGAGGGCAGCGATACAAAACCCTACTGCAAGGTCTTGATGCTGACAGGGACCCAGGCGAATGACACGGGCTACTACCGGTGCTACTACAAATACATCAGCGCCAAAATCGAGGGCACCACTGCGATCAGCGTCTATGTGTTCGTGAGAGGTAAGAGGCCCGTGACTGCCGCTCAGCCTGCCCAAACGCAGACCCGGGCTGGCATACACATTAGCCTTAAAACCCTGGATGACATGGGGATCTGTATAAACTCCCCAGTTCACTTCACCTCAGCTCTGACCAGAGGCACCCTGCTAGGCCTCGCCCAATCTCTCCATTATGTCAATCCCAAGCGTCTCTTCAGCGTAGGCCGGCGGCACCCCACACTAGCACATTGGGGGAGAGCTGGGCAGCCAAGGAAGGTGTGACTAACACTGGTCAGTATAAATTAAAGTAGATTGCCTATCTCCTAGAACTGGAAGGGTCCTTGAAAGGTCATCAAGTCCAGTCCCCTGCCTTCACAGCAGGACCAAGTACTATCCCTGACAAATTTTTGCCCCAAATAGCCTCCACAAGGATTGAACTCACAGTCCTAGATTTAGCAGGCCAATGCGCAAACCACTGAGCTATCCCTCACACCCGAAAAAGTAAATATTTTATTTGCTGGATCACTCCATGTTTTTCTCCCTTCAGAGGGTACAGTCTTTTAAACCCACTCACTTCCACAGTGACCTAGGCAGTCTTCCAGTTCACAGCCCCATTACTTCCTGAAGTGTCCCGCCTGCCACACAGGCATAACACTGCTCTGCTCAAGCTTCTGGCCTCCCCGCTTGCCCTAGTCTGTCTGGGCCCTGCTCACCTCCTGGAGGATCTTGAGGAAGCAGTACTATTCTTCAGTTAATCACCTCATAATTCTGCAGGTATCTCTGCACCTCCCATTGTCACTACTGCTTCCCTAGAATCTCTCTCATCAGAGCCTGTATCCCCCTTCATTGCTTGTCCTACCCCTTCACTGGGAGTAGCTAGTTCAGCCTGGGAAGGTACACCTGCCTTGTGCAAAGAAAACCTCCATACATGATGGCTCCTTTGCCACAAAGTGTCTCTATTCTAGCCTTTCCTACTTCCCTTGTATTACAAACGGCTGTCTACTCTAAGGCCAAGGCTTTCTCAGGCCAAGTCTACAAGTATTCCCACCCAAGTTTTAATCTAGTTAACACAGGTAAGGGTAGTCATGTAGTCATGGTGGCACAGACTTCAGCATGGGCCAACTGCCCCAAAACATACCCAGGAGCCTCGGCTGGTTTGTGCTGAGGTAACTAGCCTGTACTAAAGCTCTTGCCACTGTGTCTCCACTATTAGTGTTACCCATGCTAATTAGACTAAAGCTAACACGGGTATGCCCATCCACGCTGCAGTTGCTGTGTAGACAAGATTAAGGTGACATAGTTCTGTGAACAATACAGGGACATGGCAGCATCATTGTAGCTGAGAACGGGGATATAAAGTCCTGTTTAAAATGTTAACCAGTTAAACTATCTCTTTAACCAGTTAACCGGCCTGCCACATCACATCACGGACAGGGGGCCACTGGAGCAGCTCCCTGCCCACGGTGGAACATGGTGGGCCTGACAAAGCAGCTCCCTTATCCACGGCTGCTAAGGGTGGGCTGGATGCACTGTGCCATGGGTGGGGGAAGGGTTGCTCCAGCCCGGCCAGCTGCCAGTTAACTGGTTATCCCGTTAACCATGCCGGTAAGGCAATGCTTACGGGGTAATCAGTTAAGCCTTTCCATCCCTCCCTGAGAAAGGTCTGCAGTGTTCGAGTATGCCTGGGTGCAGAAATATGTACACGCTGGGACGGGCGGAGTGAGTGGTAAGAAATTACTCTCCAGATGAACGATGACCATTGGCTGGGGGCAGCCCATGTCAACAGGGTGAAGGGAAGGAATTGTTTTCACCTAGCTGCATCAGGGCTTTCAAACCCGGGTCGTGATGAATCCCAAGGTACAGACAGCAGTGCTGTCAGTCTGACTGTGGGGGAGATTGTAAGGGTTTGTGCACTCATGGCGCCTCCTGCTGGTCTATCTGGGAATTAGCTCTTCCAGCCCCAAAGTGCCCCCTGTTGGCCAGCGTCTCACCCTCAGTTACCTGTCGTCTTCTGGGCTACTTCAGACCCCACGTTCCTCCAGACCCATGCTGCCCCTTTCCTTGCAGGATTGCCCCACAGCAGTGCCCCCGCAAGCTGGGGTCCTCCCCTCTTGGGGAAACTCAACCCCTTGCACCCACTTTGCCTCAGTGACCTACTGCCAGTCATCATCTAGCCCAACTGCAGTCTGAAATGGCCACTCATATTGGCAAGGGGTGGACCCGCTGCCTTCTCTTGTCCTGGCTGCAATTCCACAGCCCTAGTTCCCCTCTAGCTCCTATGCCAGGCCTGAAGCTTGGGAGGTGGGTCAGGTCAGAGCTCCCCAACTCTGTCTGCCTTTCCCTAGCACCACTCTGTCTCAGATACCCTCTCTAGCCTACCCAAGCAACCAGCTCCTTCCTGCTTCACAGCTGGAACAAGACCATGTGTTCCTCCTCTGAAGGAGCCCTTCTTATAGGGCCTAGCCGGGCCCTGATTGGCTGTCTGTAGCCTTCTTCTGATAGGCCACGGTTCCAGCCACCTCCCAGGTCTGGGTTTAACCCTTATTTCACCAGAGCAGGGTGACAGCCTCACTACAGGGATCAACACAGAAATTCAAGGAAAGCTTGTAACAATGGCAGAAATGTGAAGAAGAAGAAAAAACCCCGACCTTGCTTTCAGGCAGCAACACGTCTCCCAGCAGCAGCTGGACAGAACTGAGTTCACACCTCATCTCCTGGAAAGTTCCTCCAGGAACATGCTCATCCTCTTGTCGGCAACAGGCTGTTGGCCTCCAGGGGGCTTGGGGAGTGGTGCAGAGGGTCATCTCCCCATGCTGAGAGCAAATCAATATCCGCCCACTTCTGGGGGATTGCTGAAGCTCTGCTCAGTCCAGGATTCAATTACATTGGTGCCTGGGGTGATTGCTCCCGTCGGACTGGAATGCAGGAATTTTCAGCTTGGCCGTGCCCTCCAAGCAGATCCCTGGGCCTTGGAGAAGCTCTAGTTGTAATAAAATAAAATAATTAGCCTCTGCTCTGCTGTGGGGGGACTGTCAGAGAATCAGAAACAAAGCCAGAGTGAGAAATGTAATGCTCGACAGAGCGCTGGCTGCAGGATTACGCTCTATGGAAGAGAGGGCTGTGTAAACCAGCCATACACTGCTCAGCTCTGCATGCAGCACCTCTTTCTGTGTCGGTCCAGGTTGAGGATCCCCCAAACCTTTGCCAGTTCTATAGGTCTTGACATGTAGCCCCCTCTCCTCTCTCAGCCCTGGCCTCCTCCAAGCAGAGACAGACTGCCATTCCTGCAGAAATCCGGGTGTTTTCTGGTGAGGCACAGCATCTGCCCAGGATGAAACCAAGACTACTGCACGCAAACATGGTGACCTAATTCAAATCTGAAGGTCTGCAGAGGCGAAAGACTGATGCTCAAGTTCTCTGCGCTCCCTAAAGTTCTTCCCACACTCCCCCGCCACTAGGCTAAAAATGCATGTTGTTAAGATGTTTATCCACTGAAACCACTGGCTTAGTTCAATTGTGCATTTATTCCCTCCCTCCTTTCTAGCCAGGATAGGATCATAGGGTTGGAAGAGACCTCAGAAGGACATCGAGTCCAACCCTGTGCCCAAAGCAGAACCATGACATGGAAGAGAAAATTTTCCAAAGGCCCAGATCAGGGTAAAAAAAATGACACACAAAATTCTAGCTGTGTCTGAGCACACAGTAACTACAGTGGCAAATCAGATCAATCTGGCGGGTTAACAGTGAGGATGGATGATCTTGTGGTTTAGGCGCTGTCTGGGATTCTAGAAACAGAGGTTCAATTCCTGGCACATGTGCCCAAAGGCGAATTGCTTGACCTTTCTGTGGCTTGGTTGATATTTTCCTGTGTGACAGATGTGTTGGGAGACTAAATGCATACATCTGGGATGGTTCCTTAGATGGGGCAACAGTGAAGATTGTATAAGTGCTGAGATATATGGTTGGTTGGGTGTCTCACTAACAATTTGCATATGTTTATACCTGACTTACATGTGTAAAGTAAATCATGAGCATTTGCAGGAGACTTTTTGCATGTGGATTTTGACATCCACTCTTAAAACTGTAGCCTATCATTTTTAAGCCTTCCAGAACACTTGGAATTCGGTGTGTGATCATGGAGCCTTTCCTCCTGCCCCGCATCATCCCCACTGGCAAGGTGCCAAGTGTAGGATTTCCAGATAAAGTTCTGCTCTTTTCCAGCTGAGTTGTTCTGTGTCCTAGAGATCCATCCCGAGAGCTAGAGAGGGCTGATTTATTTGTTGGAGAAGTCTGGAGAGAGGGAAATCAAACCACGGATTTACCACTCTGCATAAATTTTCACATGAGGGCTCTTTGTAGAACTGACAGGAGGACGCCTGTGCTAGGACTGAACAGTCGGACTCTCTATTGCTACGATCTGACCATCTGCCCTTAGCACTAAAATTAATACTTTTCTCTCCCCCGCTTGTGTGTAGAGATGAATTATTATTACACTTTTGTAGTCAGTGCTGTAAACAGAGAGTGTCTGTAACAAACAGAACAGGATGCAGCCCCTGTCTCAGAGGGCTTATGACTGTGGCTGAAGAAGATGCTAAATTGGTCCCAGCCCACCCATTATGACAGCCTCATAGACAACACGTGATGCAGTCAGATGAGAAAATGAGACTATGAATCACAGTCTCCTTGGCAGTGATCCACCTAGTAACTGAGTTCTTGGCTGCTATCTGTGAGCTCAGAGGGGATCTCATGGTGTTTCACCTGCCATAGTTATTCTCCTCCCTCTTCTCCAAAACTCTGGCCAGTGACAGGAATCGGGGAAGTGTTCAAATTCACAAACAAAGCTGCAGCCGAGAGCAAGGAGACTGGAGGGCAAAGAGCCTTTGAAAGTGAACCAACAGGTTCTCCATGCAAACTGACTTTGACAACAGAGGACCCCTTAGTCTGAGAAGCATGATCCTAAATTGAAAGCCAGGGCAGCTTTCATCACTGACGTTGAGTTGTCATGCCACAGCGTCTGCAGCAGCTGCAGCTATTTCCTCTTTCGAAGTGGAGTGAAAGACCATGGTATATCGGATACCACTGAGCAATGGCAAATATGTACCTTTTAATGGCAATCATTGTCATATGTGATAAGTAGCAGCCAATGGGATGGGCTTATTCTAGGTGGGCCCGCTCAGACAGTGCTGGAGGTCTCAGGCTTCTAGAAAGTTGCAAGTGTGGGCAATATTTGGGCACTCCTGTTTTTAAAAGACAGCTCTAATGGTTGGGAAATGGGGAAAAGAGGTCTCAGGTGTCTTAGCCCCTGGCCCTACATACGGTGCTCAGCGAAGGGGAACCTCACCTCCCTTGGAAGTTATGATTATAGTCTCTGTAGGGATCCGGGTAAATAGGGTAATTGATTTTAAGGCTTGAAGGAACCATTGGGATAATCTTATCTGACCTCCAGCAGAATGCAGTTCAACCAGCAATTCTTGCACCAAACCCAGGCCTTTTTGAAGATCTGCCACAACCCTAGGAAATAAATATTCCCACTGTCCAAATAGGCAGGTTGCACAAGTGAAACCAGACAAAATCAGACACTTAGACATTGCCTTTGCTAGGGAGTGATGCTGGCATCTCTCCATTCTAGACACTGAACACTTAGGATCTGGTCTAGATTTAGAGTGGCCAATTAAGCATGTGTGCTGCTGGAGTTTGCTGGACCCTGAATATACAGCTGGGCAGCTGGTGCTGATATGTCAGAACAAATCCTTCCATAACAAAACTTCAAAACAACAATAGCCAGCAGCAGAAGAGACTTGGCAGGAATTTCCATCCCGAATATTAGTTGTCTCCTATTCTAATCTTGTCTTAGTCCTTCATAAGAACATCAGTGGCTACTCTTCAAGTACACCCTGAAGGCACTTGTTATATAAAAGCCACAATAATAAAGTAACCCCTCAAACAGAACCTTTTGGCAGAAACATTTAACAACAAAGAAATTAATGGGAGAAAAACACTGCAAAGTCCCTGTCTCAGCATGGGCAACAGAAAAAAGAAATCTGGGCTTCATCTGCACTAAACATAGGCAGTGCAGTGCAGACTTTTCACCTGGACTAGACCAGTGAGCCCAGTAGGAGAACATCTATTAGGGATAATAAGAGAGTTTTGTCTCTAGGTCTCTTCTGCTCTGGTTAAGGTATTCAGGGATTGATCCTGGGACCTAAAAACATGAGTCTCTATTGCCAAATTATAAAACACAGGTTTTGCAGCACAAAAATTGTGGCATCTGTGTATGTGGACTAGCTGCTCAAGGATGGCAGAAGCTACATGGTGGTTGTGTTGCATTGACTTTATTATGATTGAAACTCCCCAAAAGAGGCCTAATTGAGGTGATAAATTTTATTATGTGAACTCACATCCACTAAAACCCACAAGAACTCATTGCACATAGTACAGTGGTTGCCATTTAAATGTCAGCATTTGCCAACGGACACTTCATGGCTACGTCTGTTATTCCTAGTCTAACTGAGGAGAGGAGGGCAGAGCAAATAACCTATCTTAGACATTGTTGTGAATAGCTACCTTTGTACTTGGCTTGCAAAGTTCTTTGGGAACAGGAGGCTCTGTTTGTTCTAGGTTTGTACAGCACCTAACACAATGGGAACCTGCTGCATGACTGGGGCTCCTAGGTGCAACTATAATCCAAATAATAATGGCAACCACTACATGCCACAAACTGTTCTCATTCACAGTGGCCTGATGATTTTGAGGGGAAAGCCTCTCTGGCCTATTCCCAAGCTGTTGAATCGTCCGGTTATCCAACCCCCCTGTTTGGAGTGACATCAGAAATGCTGAGTCATGAAACTGTGGAAAACATTATGTATGCTACAGAAATGGAAACCCCCCCCCCCCCCACAACCCCCCAC